ACCACCTGTCATGGCTCAGATGGGGTGTCACCTGATGCTGCCACCACTCTGGTTTTAGGTTCCCTTGAGAAGGCCCAGAGCACCCTCCCAAGACCTTCAGACCTCCCTTATTTGGCTGAATAATAGGCATGAGGACCAGGCAAAGTAAACAATAAATAAGAGGTTTGTTTTTATAGGAGCTCAGTCAAATATGTGAAACAAACAAGGTGCACGAACAATAGCCATAAGGGAGTGAAGAGAAAAGAAACCAAATGCCCTAACGTGACTAGACTCACAGTCCCTAGTCCACTGTCTCCGTTGGGCCTGAGTCTACTCACCTTTCCTCTCAGGGTGAGGGTCTCTCCCAGCAGCAGCCTTCCCTCTGGCCCTGCTCTCTTGGAAGAAAGAACAACTCTTCTTCAGTTCCAGCTGTAATGTATTGAAACGATTACATGAATCACCTCATAGGACTCCTATGTTAAGCTTCGAGCCAGACCAGGCTCCTCTGAGCGAACTTCCTATTGGTCGCTTCGTAACAGCGACCAATCAGAACTGTGCCTTTTCCCTGCGAGGGAAAGACTTTCATTGGTCCTTAACTAAGCAATCTCATTGGTTGTTATTTGTAAATAGGCGTGGCTACATTAGCCCGGTTATGTTTAAAAGGAGCATAAGCTCCCACTGTTTTCTGTTCTGGTTTCTTACTGAGTTGAGTGCTTGTTCGTTACTTCCAATAAAGCTGAATCACTTGCTGAATCACTCTAAGAGTCCTTTGTTAGCGCGATCTAACAATTGGCGACGAAGGTGGGATGTTAGAGCAGGTAGGCAGCCCTGCGGACATCCACACTTCGGACTCGGAAGAAAGCGAGCAGAGCACAGCAGCCGATCCGGCGGAGGCGCCACCAGCTCCGGTGCCCAAGTCTCCCACGATGGCTGGAAGCCAGAAGTTCGAGTGCTTCGAACCCTCCTCAGAAGACTGGGACTCCTACCTATCCAGGTTCGAGTTCCATCTGGAGACCCACGACATCACCGATGAGGCGAAGAAACGAGCATGCCTCCTGAGTTCCTGCGGGAAGGGGACCTTCGACATAGCCAGGTCGTTGGTGGCCCCAACTGATATAAAGACTGTCACCTACGCTGACATCACGGAGAAGCTTAAGGCTCACTATTCTCCACAACCGTCGGAGATCGCCTGCCGGCACGCTTTTTACAAGCGGAACCAGGCCGGAGGCGAGACCATCGCAGATTTCGTGGCGGCCCTTCGCAAAGCCGCACGGCCATGTAATTTCCACAACGTGGAGGAAGCCCTCAGAGACCGTCTCGTCTGCGGTCTCAAAGATGAAAGGCTGCAACAGAGGCTGTTCGCCCGCACCACCCTGACCTGGGCAGTGGCCTACGAAGAGGCCGTGGCCGCGGAAGCAGCGGAGAAGTCCACGAAGGAGGTCCGCCAGCGGGTGGCAGAGCCCAGTATACACGCTCAACGAGACAGCGAGGGCGAAGACGCGGATGATGACGTCAACGCGGTTCGAGGCAAGCGGACCCCAGCGAAGACTACCAACGTCAAGCCTTGCTCCGGTTGTGGCGGGAAACACCAGCGCGACTCCTGTTGGGCTCGTGATGTCGACTGCAGAGCGTGTGGGCGGCGTGGTCATCTGGCCAGAGTCTGCAGATCAGCAAAGAAGGATCCCTCAACTAACAACCGGTCAGCGCAGAGGGGCACTCCAGTCAGCACCCAAGGCAAGACCCGTTCCTCAGCATCGGAAGCAAGCTGCCAGTTGACGGCGACCTTGTCGAGCGCATCGGCCGTAAATCGCACCAGCAGCCAGGGCAAGATCACCGTGACTCCACTCCTCGACGGCCGACCCTGTACAATGGAGGTGGACTCAGGATCGTCCGTGACGGTGATGAGAAGCACGTTGGAGGGCCATCTTTTTCCAGTTCTTCTAGTCTAGAGAGGATGTAGCTGATTTAGCTCTCTGTTATTTTCTCCCAAGTTACCCTTCCCTATGGTAGAATTGTAGTAAACTTTTATATTTTTAAACACACATGGATTCTGGGTCTGATTATTGAACTCTGGCATTGCTAAGCTGTTTTTTAACTCTGCTGAATTTCTTTAAAAACTCTAACAGAAGGTAACAGCGTTCCATGCACCTTGGCATTTAGTCATGCCGGCCACATGACCACGGAAACGTCTTCAGACAGCGAAATGGCTTTGGCTTCGAAATTGAGATGAGCACCACCCGAGTCGGATTCAACTGGCTTTCGAGCAAGGGAAACCTTTACCTTAACCTTATGCTGCTAGGTATCTTTTTATTGGTTTTTGTTAAGGACTTTAATATTATCTGCAGACCACTTAAGAGTATATTGCTTTATATAAAAGTGGTCTAGATATTTGCTAAATAAAACAGAACAAAACACTGTTGTGGCATTTCTGAGCTCCACAGTTGGTTCAGACAAACAAGCTAAGAATTGATTTCTCTTTGATAGGGAACTATTCTGTGCCAGGCTATCTTTGTACCATCTCCAACTCCCGTCTTTCTGTTTGTTGTAATAACAGAAATAATAAATATATTTGCTATGGATGTATACCTCTGTGCAACTGATGAAGGCACTAAGAGGCCCTAAGCCTCTGAATCCCAGAGCCAGGAGGCGACCTCAGGGGAAGGCCTCGGCCTCTCTGCCCTGTTGTTGGCCCTCCAGAGGAACTGGTTGAGGCCACTGTGTGAGACAGGAGGCTGGACTAGATGGACCTCACTGGTCTGATCCAGCAGGGCTCTTCTGATGTTCTTGTGAGGGGAAGGCCTCGGCCTCTCTGCCCTGTTTTTGGCCCTCCGGAGGAACTGGCTGAGGCCACTGTGTGAGACAAGATGCTGGACTAGATGGACCCTCACTGGTCTGATCCCGCAGGGCTCTTCTGATGTTCCTGAATTTTGTTAATCCTTAAAGACAGCCAACGTGGTATAGTAGTTAACATGGTGGACTAGGATCTGGGGAACTCTGGTTCAAATCCCCACTCGTGCCAAGGAAGCTTGCTGGGTGACCTTGGGCCAGTCACATGTTGTTGTTCAGTCGCACAGTCAAGTCCGACTCTTCGCGTCCCCATGGACCACATCACGCCAGGCCCCCCTGTCCTCCGTCGTCCTCTGGAGTTTGCTTAACTTCATGTTCATGTTCGTTGCCAGTGACATACTCTCAGCCTATCCTACCTCACAGGGTTGTTGTGATGATAAAATGGAGGAGAGGAGAACGATGTAAGATGCTTTGGGTCCCCATTGGGGGAAAATCTGGGATATAAATAAAGAAAATAACTAAATAAAGTGCTGCTGGACTTCAGTTTTATTTGGTGTCTCTCCAGGGGCATTTATGCTCCTTTAAGTGCTTCATCATAATGTAAAAAAATTAAATCCCAGTGGCGTTTTGCTATTTGCTTCAGGCTAACGTTTCTCCCCAACTTATCACCCTGAATGTTAGAGCAAGTCTGGTGCCATGGTTAAGCGTGGCGGACTCTAATGTGGAGAACTGGGTTTGATTTCCCCACTCCTCCTGCACATGACGCCTGCTGTGTGACCTTGGGCCAGTCCCAGTTCTCTCCGAACTCTCTCAGCCAACGTTCCCTCTAAGCTGTGGAGTCTTGTGAGCAAAACTTCTACTTTGTGAGCTGCTGGCATTAAAGTCGTGAACGAGCGATTTGGCTGCTGCATAAATTAGTTTGCTCTGGAACCCTCCTTCCTGAGCTAAGACAAACAATGTGTGAGCCAGAGGCTAAAAAACTGTGAGCTAGCTCACACTAACTCAGTTTAGAGGGAACACTGCTCTCAGCCCCACCTGCCTCCCAAGGTGTCTGCTGTAGGGAGAGGAAGGGAAGGTGATTGTAAGCCGTTTTGAGACTCCTTATAGTAGAGATAAGTGAGGTATAAAAACGAACCTTCTAGCTGAGGAAACAAAACTTGTTGGATATATCCCCAATTCCCCCCTCCCCAGAAAAAAGTGACACTCTAATGCCCATGGGGTATCAGAGAGTCAGACTCGACTGTGCTACTAAACACCGACAACACCCAAAGAATCAGGAATCAAACAGGTATATGGTATCAGAGTTCAATAGCAGCTTCTGGTAAACAAGTTCCAGAAAACAAGAAGACATGTGTGTGTGTGTGTAGCAAACATTCTCTTCAAAACTCCTGTCTTAAAATAAAAATGACCCCATAATCCGACTCTCAAAGGAAAGAAAGGTGCCTATTATTTGACATGAAACTGGCTATCATCACAACCTCTGATGGTCAATATCATTACTGTTTTTTAAAGCATTACAATTATGGAGGAGTGGTCTATTAAGGGGAGGATGGAACCTTCACAAATAGGAGCAGTCTACCCCGACCTGGATAGCCCAGGCTAGCCCAAACTTGTCAGATCTCGGAAGCTAAGCTAGTAGAAGGTTCTGTAGTTCACGAACATAGATCAAGATGGGTAGCCCTGTTAGTCTGTCTATAGCGGTAGAAAAGAGCAAGAGTCCAGTAGCACCTTAAAGACTCACAAATGTTGTGAGCAGTGACTCATGAAAACTTATACTTCGCCACAAACTTTGTGAGTCTTTAAGGTGCAACGGGACTCTTGCTCTTTTCTAGTTCATGAACAATTATACCAGAACAATTCTGTTAGCTTTTAAGCAGCCACGAACCTCCATGGACAGAGGCACCCTGCCTCTGAGTGTCGGAAGCTGAGGGACACACAGCAAGAAAGGACTGTCGCTTTCCACGCACTGCTTATCTGGGCTTCCCGTTCCACTTGCGCCTTCCAAGGCATTCCTCTCCCTACATTACTAAACGTCGTGAGCAGAATAGTCAGTTTCACTTTCCGCGCATGCGCTACGCGAACACACGGACTTACTGAACTAGAGAAGCTCCGCCCCTTTAGAACAGCTGCGGGGCCGAGGGGAAAAATGGATACATCGCGAGCCAATCAGCGTCAAGAACACGGCAAACCGGACCCCGCCGCGGCCAATGGGAAGAGCAGAATTAGAGCGTGAAGGCTTTGAGGACGTGGCTTGGAGCTGCGTCTGGAACAGCTCTGCTTTCTCCCCCTTTTCCGCTTCCAACTTTCTGCGGCGAGTCGATCGGACTTTTTAAAACCCGTTCTTATTCCTTCGGGAGCCATCGTGGGACCCCATGGCGTATCCCCCTGGCTATGGGGGGCCAGGTAAGGCCTGGAGGCCGGGCAGTTCTGGGGACGGGGACTTGAGGCCTGCTCGCTGGAAGTTATTTGGGGGTGATGATGGGGGACGGGGACCCTCCCCTTCTTCCCCGGGGAGACTGAGGTCAGGATCGTAAGCAGCGATGATATCCCGGTTGGGTGGCCGGGGCCGGCCTGAGCCTCAGGCCTTGCAATCGAAAGACACCCCCCCCCCCGCGCAGCCCTGCTCTAACGTGCTTTTGCAAGCGGGCGGGGTGTGTGTGAGGATTTGGAGGGCGGCCCAGCGCATGGCTTGGGGTCCCAAATGTCCCTCTTCACGGATGTCAGCCGCAGGGTCTGGAAAGGCGGGCCCCTCACCCAGGTTCAACAGCCCAGTCACTCCGGTTTAAAAAAGCTTGAATAATGCGGATCGGAAAGAGCCCGGCCTTAAATTCTGAGCTCCTGCCGGAACAGAAGCTATTGCACAGGGAAAATAAAACAGGAGGTACCTTAGGTAGTGTGGAACTGGGTGTCTGAGGAAGGGAACTTTGGCTTTTGGAAGGTGCTATTGGGCTCCAGTCTAACTGTTCTGGATGTATTCAGGTAGGTAGCCGAGTTGGTCTGGAGCAACAGAACGAAGTTTGAGTCCAATGGCACCTTTTAAGACCAGAGGTGTCAAGGCTAAGGCCCGGGAGCTGGAACCGGCCCACCCAGGGCTCTTATGTGGCCCGTGAGCAACTGATGCAAGGGAAGGTGTGCTGGAGGGGAGTGGGTGGAGCCACTCCAATTGTGGCTCCAGCAAGGTGGAACAACCTCGTCTGCTGCGTGGGAGCATCTGCCCAGCGCTGCACTGCTGGCTCTCCGGTCCGCCTCTGTGGGTTTTCCTCCGCACCACCCCACCCAGCCTCTGGGGCCTTGCAATGAGGATACACCAACTCGGGCCTTACCAGCTGCTCTCCTTTGTACAGTTTCTCTCTCTGGTACCTGGCATGACGTTTTATGGCACACGTGGCCCGGCCCGACAAAGTGACATTCATGTCGGATCTGGCCCTTGTGACAAATGAGTTTGACACCTCTGTTTAAGACCAACAAAGTTTTATTCCGGGGATGTGTCTCACACACGTTGACGTGTTTTCACCCCAAGTTGCCTTAGACTTCCAGCTAGATTCTAGTCCAGTAACATCTTAGAGATCAGCAAGATTTTTGGGGGGTATGAGTCAAAGCTTATACCCAGCAAAATCTTGCTGGTCTCTTCGGTGCTACTGGAGTCGAACGTTCCTGTTCTACTGTAGACCAACATGGAATACTTATACTTCCATTTGCCCATGAGGGTGAGTGTTCCGGACTACCAGCAGCTCTGAACGCACGAAGCTGCCTTGTATTGAATGAGACCAGTGGTCTGTAAGGGTCAGTACTGTCAATTCCGATTGGCAGCAGCTTTCCAGGGAAATACACAAATACCTCCCCCCCCCCAGCCCCAGGGACCCCTGCTGTATGCCCAGAAGAGGGGGGGGGCCTCCAGGATCCCTGGCCAAACTGGCCTGGAGAACAATGGCTTCCTGACCCCAAAGTGGCAATCAGCATTTCCCTGGGTGGGTAAGAACATAACATAAGAACATGAGAGAAGCCAATGTTGGATCAGGCCAATGACTCATCCAGTCCAACACTCTGTCACACAGTGGCCAGAAATACCAGGGGCCATCAGGGGGTCCCTCAGTGGGGCCGGGACACTAGAAGCCCTCCCACTGTTGCCCCCCCCCAAGCCCCAAGAATACAGAGCATCAGTTGCCCCAGCCTGAGAGTTCCTATCTATACCTTGTGGCTCATAGCCACTGATGGACCTCTGCTCCATATGTTTATCCAGTTCCCTCTTGAAGCCGTCCATGCTTGTAGCCACCACCACCTCCTGTGGCAGTGAATTCCATGTGTGAATCACGAGAACTGAGCACTGCGGCAACCCTTCCTGCCCTCCCGCCTAAGTTCACAGAATCAGCATTGCTGTCAGATGGCCCTCGAGCCACATGGCTATCCACTTGAAACTATCTTTGCCACTTTCCATTCCTGTGGCTTGCTGTAAAGTTTTGCTGTTTCTTTCCCCCCCTCCCTGGTTGCTTAGGGACACTTGACGCTGCTACCGCCCAGCTGACTTTTAAATAGTTTGTACTTTTCCACCACCACCCTCTTCAGTCTCTGCCCTTCCACTGAGAAACTAAAGTGATCCGAATGACAAGAAGCCTGTCCTCTGCTCCCTCTTTAAAAATAAACCCTTAGAACTGAGAAAATGGCCAGGAGATGTGATGGGACCGAGCTTGACAAAACTATGCACAGGGCAGAGAAAGCAGAGAGATCTCTTTCTCCCTCTCCCCTTCCCTAGTAGAACTTGTTGTTCTAGTATGGTTGTTGAGAAATAAATTAAAGGCAGACAAAAGGGAGTACTTATTTTTACCCAACAAGCGATTTAAGTGGTGGAATTGACTGTCACTCGACATAGTGAAGGCCACAAGCCCAGATGGTTTTAAAAGGGGATTGGATTGATTTGGAGAGGGTGGGTACAAACTGAGAGCCAGTTTGGTGTAGTGGTTAAGTGCATGGACTCTACTCTGGGAGAACCGGGTTTGATTAACCCACTCCTCCGCTTGCACCTGCTGGATGACCTTGGGCAAGCCATAGTTCTGTCAGAGCTGTTGTTGAAAAAGAGCAGTTTCTGTCAGAGCGCTCTCAGCCCCACCTACCTCACAGGGTGTCTGTTGTGGGGAGGGGAAGGGAAAGGAGTTTGTAAGCTGCTCTGAGACTCCTTTGGGTAGTGAAGGGCGGGGTATAAATCCAATCTCTTCTCTTCTTCTTTTACCTCACAGGGTGTCTGTTGTGGGGAGGGGAAGGGAAAGGAGTTTGTAAGCTGCTCTGAGACTCCTTTGGGTAGTGAAGGGCGGGGTATAAATCCAATCTCTTCTCTTCTTCTTTTACCTCACAGGGTGTCTGTTGTGGGGAGGGGAAGGGAAAGGAGTTTGTAAGCTGCTCTGAGACTCCTTTGGGTAGTGAAGGGCGGGGTATAAATCCAATCTCTTCTCTTCTTCTTTTACCTCACAGGGTGTCTGTTGTGGGGAGGGGAAGGGAAAGGAGTTTGTAAGCTGCTCTGAGACTCCTTTGGGTAGTGAAGGGCGGGGTATAAATCCAATCTCTTCTCTTCTTCTTTTACCTCACAGGGTGTCTGTTGTGGGGAGGGGAAGGGAAAGGAGTTTGTAAGCTGCTCTGAGACTCCTTTGGGTAGTGAAGGGCGGGGTATAAATCCAATCTCTTCTCTTCTTCTTTTACCTCACAGGGTGTCTGTTGTGGGGAGGGGAAGGGAAAGGAGTTTGTAAGCTGCTCTGAGACTCCTTTGGGTAGTGAAGGGCGGGGTATAAATCCAATCTCTTCTCTTCTTCTTTTACCTCACAGGGTGTCTGTTGTGGGGAGGGGAAGGGAAAGGAGTTTGTAAGCTGCTCTGAGACTCCTTTGGGTAGTGAAGGGCGGGGTATAAATCCAATCTCTTCTCTTCTTCTTTTACCTCACAGGGTGTCTGTTGTGGGGAGGGGAAGGGAAAGGAGTTTGTAAGCTGCTCTGAGACTCCTTTGGGTAGTGAAGGGCGGGGTATAAATCCAATCTCTTCTCTTCTTCTTTTACCTCACAGGGTGTCTGTTGTGGGGAGGGGAAGGGAAAGGAGTTTGTAAGCTGCTCTGAGACTCCTTTGGGTAGTGAAGGGCGGGGTATAAATCCAATCTCTTCTCTTCTTCTTTTACCTCACAGGGTGTCTGTTGTGGGGAGGGGAAGGGAAAGGAGTTTGTAAGCTGCTCTGAGACTCCTTTGGGTAGTGAAGGGCGGGGTATAAATCCAATCTCTTCTCTTCTTCTTTTACCTCACAGGGTGTCTGTTGTGGGGAGGGGAAGGGAAAGGAGTTTGTAAGCTGCTCTGAGACTCCTTTGGGTAGTGAAGGGCGGGGTATAAATCCAATCTCTTCTCTTCTTCTTTTACCTCACAGGGTGTCTGTTGTGGGGAGGGGAAGGGAAAGGAGTTTGTAAGCTGCTCTGAGACTCCTTTGGGTAGTGAAGGGCGGGGTATAAATCCAATCTCTTCTCTTCTTCTTTTACCTCACAGGGTGTCTGTTGTGGGGAGGGGAAGGGAAAGGAGTTTGTAAGCTGCTCTGAGACTCCTTTGGGTAGCGAAGGGCGGGGTATAAATCCCATCTCCTCCTCCTCCTCTTCTTTAATGACTGCTAGCCACGGTGACTATAGGGAACCTTCATAATCATAGGCAGTAAAGCTCTGAATCCCAGTGCCAGGAGGCAGTGTCGGAGGAAGGCCTTGGCCTCTACGCCCTGTTGCTGGACCTTCAAGGCCCACTGCTTGGACACGGTGTGTGACAGGATACCGGACTTGGCGTGGCACTGGTCTGATCCAGCAGGGCTCTTCTTAGGATTCCCATGCCAACCTGGGCCCCTAAACCTCTCTGTTTTGAAAAATTAAGTCGCAGCTGATCTGCCCTTGATGGTGTTCTGATACTGTCCAAATACATCTTGGGGATATTCCGGCCAGTGTTCCCTCTAAGCTCACAGTTTTTTAGCCTCCAGCTCACAGATTTTTGTCTTCGCTCGGGAAGGATGGTTCCAAAGCAAACTAATTTATGCAGCAGCCAAGTTTAAGGCCAGTAGCTCACAAAAATAGAATTTTTGCTCACGGGGCTCCACGGCTTAGAGGGAACATTGATTCCAGCAATCTAGGATTTCGCTCTCTGCTCCTAAATCTCCTGCCGATGCATTGTGATTGCTGGTCTTCAACAGATGCAAGCCAGCAGTGCTTTGTAGGGTAACTTAAGTGCAAAAGGGTTCTCCCCTGCCCCAAGGGGAAGAATTTACAAACTTAAGTTTAGATTTAGGGTGATGGGGAAGGTCAGAGGGAGGGGGGGGGATCCTTGGTTCCAAGTCCAGCCAGTCTGGCTCAGGAGTTCCTTTGGGCCATTTTCTCTTCTTCTTTTCCCTCCCTGCAGGCTCCAAGCACAGGGCCAGAGGCCCAATGGTCCCACAGAACGCCAATGCCCCACAGCTCTTTGATGACACCAGCTCGGCCTACGGACCGCAGAAAGCGGGTTACCCTGTCCCGGGGATCGACATGGGCTTCAACCAGATTTTTGCCGATCCGGTGGCCAACGTCGCCATGGCCTACGGCTCCAGCATTGCGTCTCAGAGCAAAGAGATTGTGCACAAGGAGGTAAGGGGGTGGCAGTGGCAGTTTTTCAGGGTCGTGGCATCCGTTCCCTGTCCTTGCAAAGCTTGAACGTGCAGCCCTGGGTGATTTGCCGATGGAGGCGTATCTGCTTATATTTTCAGTAGTCTTGGTTTGTCCCCCGAAACAAAAGATTTGGACACTTTCTCCCACCTTCTCCCTGTTGAATATTGTAACTCGGGATGCAAGAGGACCTGGGAGGGAAAAGGTTAAGAGAATTCTCTGCTCGGGTTGCACTGGGCAGTTGCTCCCACCCTCTCATTGGTTAGACGTCGAGCCGCTTGGGCCGTTGCTTGTCTTTCTGTGGTTCATCCTATGCAGGACTTCTCTTCTCCTCTCTTTTACCCGGGCTTGGAGCTGTAGCAAGCTAACCTTTTTGAGGTTGATCTGCTCACGATAAGTTAGATGTACCTAGACGAATGCGTCATGTAAGATGTGCTTCTATTTTTTTGTTAGTCTCTTGCCTTGAAAACCCCACAGGGTCGCCCTACGTCCGCTGTGGTTTGATGACAGTTTTACGCACACGCGTTTCTTCTGGACTGTAATGTCGGGTTCCCAGCTCCAGCAGCTGATGGGAGACTGGGGTGGGGATGAAGACCCAGTGAAATGGGATTGCGCAACACCAGTTCTGGCTGCGTAACCGAAAAGTGATGTCGCCGCTTTACATAACTCTCTAGGAATACCCTGGAACTCTGTGGTAAAAAAAGCCCATAGAGTTTGGAGGGAATCCTAGAGTGCCACGTGAGCCAGCCGTGTCACTTCCTGGTTTTCTCCTCCTTTATTATCGTCCCCCCGCTATTCAATCGAGTGCTGGCAGAGAATCCCCCACTCCCCGTGGGCATCTTGCAACCGTACCCCAGCGCAAGAGGGTCTGCCCGCCACACAAACGGAGGCCTGTTTCTACGAATGCTCCTCCCCCCTGGCTAAAGCCGCCTGTATTTGCTTTCCCCAGATTGACAGGTTCATGTCGCTCAACAAGCTGAAGTATTTCTTCGCGGTGGACACGACCTACGTCATGAAGAAGCTGGCGCTGCTGGTGTTTCCTTACGTACATCAGGTACAGAAGGGAGAGGGTGCCTTATTTATTTATTTGTTTAATTGGATTTATGAATCACCCACCCCGCAAGCAGGCTCTGGGCGATTTACAACCTTAAAACATTTGGAATACAATGAGCGTATAATTAAAATGATCAACAGTAGAACAATAAATTATCCAGGACTCTTTTTGTAGCGGGAACTCCTTTGCATGTTAGGCGACACACCCCTAATGTAGCCAATCCTCCAAGAGCTTACAGAGCTCTTCTTACAGGGGCTACTGTAAGCTCTTGGAGGATTGGCTACATTAGGGGTGTGTCGCCTAATATGCAAAGGAATTCCTGCTACAAAAAGAGCCCTGGGTCACCGATCCAAGATGGCATAGTAGTCTTCCTTTGCCGGCCACACCGCTGATTCGCATGGCGGGGCAGAGAAGGGTATATGGGTGCCATCAATGTTCCCTCTAAGCTGTGGAGTCTTGCGAGCAAAAATTCTACTTAGTGAGCTCCTGGCATTAAAGTTGTGAGCGAGCGATTTGGCTGCTGCATAAATTAGTCTGCTCTGGAGCCCCATCCTTCCTGAGCTAAGACAAAAATGTGTGAGCCGGAGGCTAAAAATCTGTGAGCTAGCTCACACCAACTCAGCTTAGAGGGAACTATGGGTGCCATAGTGGAAAAAGAGAGGGTGCCAGTCTTAACCTCCCGTTGCTGCCCTCAGCTAAAAGCCTGGTGCAACATCTCTGCCTTACAGGCCCTGTGGAGTTGCATCAAATCCCACGGGGGACCCTGATGCTGTCTGGCAGAGAGTTCCACCAGGTCGGGGCCAGGACCGAAAAGTTGATGACACTAGCTGAGGACAGCCGGACCTCCCTAGGGCCGGGGATCAGCAAGTTGTTATCAGCCGACCTTGACATTCTTCTGCTCCGTTTTGGGGGTCAGAGCTGGCTAGCGACGGGATCGTGGTGCTCTTGGGTTCTGCCCTCTGCTATTGGCCACAGCACGGAAGTGGGAGGAGTTAGGAAAAAGGGAGGGATTAATTGTGGGAGGAAAGTGGGGGAGGCATTCTTGAGGAATTCCAGAATCTCCTGTTCCTGTACTTTAGCAGTTCAGCCCCTGCTGTAACTTCGTAAAAACTGTAGAGGGGAGAAGGGGCGGCTGGAATGGTTAGTGGGGCCAGCCCTCCCCCCGAGGCCCCTAGAACGTGAGGATTTGCGATACCGTCTGATCTTATAGTGTGAACATCCCTTAAAGCTGCCTTATCCCTTTGTGTATCAAGGTAAGTGCTGGTTGTGTGACTGGGCAGTGGCGCTCTAAGGTTTCAAGTACGGATGCCATTCCCCAGTTGGGGGCGGGGGGAAATCCAATCCCCCAATGCGACATAATGGCATCACACAGAAGTGACATCATCACGTTGGTGATGCTCTGGGGGTTTTTTTGTGCAAAACTCTATGGTAACCATAGAGTTTTGCCTAAAATACCAGAGCGCTGCCGTGTGGTGTTGCTGATGGATGATGTCATTTCTGCGTGACGTTGTTACGTCGCGTGCTCCCCCTACTCCCGGAAAGTCCCTGCTGGGTCGATCCGACCTGGCAACCCTAGTTTCAAGTGAGGGGTCTTTCACATCAACGCCTACCTGATCCCTGTAATGGGGGAGCAAACCTGGGACCTTCTGCATCCCAATCAGGTGACCTGCCACTCGGCCATAGCTTTTCCCTAATACGAGAGTGTCTCTCTTAGAAATACAAGATTCAAGATGGTTAGGAGCGGGTGCTGTGTTCATTTCACACCTGAAGCTGCCTTATATTGCATGAGACCATCGTTCCACCGAGGTCGGTATTGTCTACTCAGACTGGCAGCAGCTTGCCAGGGTCTCTGGTGCAGGTAACTCAAATCACCTACTACGTGATCCCTTTTTCACTAGAGATGCTGGGGACCGAACCCGGGACTTCCTGCGTGTGAAGCTGTTTCTCTGCCACGGCCCCTTGGAACAGAATGGGTAGAAGGGAACCCACAGGGAACGACCCCCATCCCTCCCCAATGCAGGTCCCTTTAGCCCTGCCTCCATTTTTAGCTGCATCTGCTTGTTGCCCCTTTATTGACTTTTATTTATTTATTTGGATATTTCTGTAGTGCCTTTTCAAAGTCCTACTTGAAAGCAGCTCATAATTAAAAACATCACAGTACATGAACAAGCACCTAAAAACCAGCTCTTTGCTCTCTTTTTTGCTTGCTTTTTGTTTGTTTTTGCCCACTGTGCTTTTGTTTTCTGTTGGTTTTGCCAGCCGTGCCTTTCGCTTTCTTTTGCTTTTGCCTTCGCTTTCTTTTGCTTTTGCCTTCGCTTTCTTTTGCTTTTGCCTTCGCTTTCTTTTGCTGTAGCCTTCGCTTTCTTTTGCTGTAGCCTTCGCTTTCTTTTGCTGTAGCTTTCTTTTGTTTTAGCCTTCGCTTTCTTTTGCTTTTGCTTTTTTTTTCTTCAGCCTTCGCTTTCTTTTGCTTTAGCCTTCGCTTTCTTTTGCATTTGCCTTCGCTTTCTTTTGCCTTCACTTTCTTTTATAGTCTGCCTTTCTTTCTGAGTCTCAAGGCATCTGTAGTTCTGCCTCCTCACAATCAGAGCTGGAGAAGAAGACAGGCATTTATTTATTTATTTATTTTATACCCCGCCCTCCCCGCCATTCTAAACCAGCTCAAGCCATGGCTCTTCCCTTTTTTCAAACTGCAGCCCATGCCTCTGCTGGCAATAGGGAAAATGTGGCTGTTTTGGTATGAAGTTGGTGTGTGTGTGTGTGGGGGGGGTGCTTGTGGAGGAATGCTGCAAAGATGCCTCCTGGGGGTATTGCTTTTTGGCCCAAGTGTCTGCAAGGCAGCTTAGATCTGGACAAAGTTAAACAGCAGCTTGAATCATCCAGGTCCAGGCTGGCCCAGTGTTCTGAGATCTCAAAAACTAAGCAAAGCCCGCCCTGGTTAGTCCCTTGATGGGAGACCACCCCTTATGCCTCCTTCCCAGCTACATCCCAGTTGGCAAGTGGGTTCTTCAGTCCCTGCCTGGGTACACAGGGCATGCCTTGTAGCTAGTACCCACCACCAGCAGTCAAGGCTGTCTGTGCTCGTTTTATAATGCCAGCAAACTCTGCCCTGACCCAGATAGCCCAGGCAAGCCTGATCTCATCGGATAGCCCAGGCAAGCCTGATCTCATCGGATCTCCGAAGCTTAAGCAGAGTCAGCCTTGGTCAGTATTTGGATGGGAGACGGCCAAGGAAGGCCGGGGTTGCTCTGCACAGGCAGGCTATGGCAAACCACCTCTGAACTTCTCTTGCCTTGGAAACCCCCAGGGGTTGCCAGGAGTCAGCTGCAAGTTGATGGCACCTAGTTACAAGTGGGGACCCACAAGAAACTTGCGGGGAGGGGGCATTCCCCCACCTTTTCTTCCTTCCCTCTCCCCCGTCTTCCTTTGTCTTCCCTATCTTCCCTTTCTCTTCCCAAGCCAATCCCCCCTTCCTTTTCTTTCCAACTCTGTCTTTCTTTCTCCCTTCCAAGGCAATCCCCTTTTTTTCTCTTCCCCCCAAGCCAATACTCCCATTTTTTCCTTTCTCTCTCCCTCCCAAGCCAGCCCTCCCCCCTCTTTCTCCCTCCCTCTTTTTCCATACCTTTGAGCCCGACAGTGGTGGCAGAGTTTTCAGGTTTTTCTGCAAACCTAGGGGGTCACCCAAGTTTGCAGGAAAACTTGTTTGGGGTAAGTGTGCCCCCTATCTGTGGATTTAGATATCCACACATGGGGGACTGTTGAGAATTAGATATATAGATTATTAAAGCAGCAAAAGCGGGGGACGGGACGGGACAGGACTCTCCGCTGGGCCTGGTGGAGGAATGCTTTTCTGAAATCCCGAGCAGCAACAGACAGACGGATAACGAGAGCGTTTAATGTTTCCTCCACAGAATTGGGAAGTCCGCTACCACAGAGACACGCCCCTCCCGCCCCGACAGGACATCAACGCCCCTGACCTCTATATCCCAAGTGAGTCACTCTTTGAATGCCTCAAGACTTTTCCTGGCAAATACAGAACCGTTTTTAAACATCGGCATTGTGTAAATCAGGGGTCCCCGACCTTTTTGAGCCTGTGGGGACCTTTGGGATTCTGACACAGGTTGGTGGGCTCAGCCACAAAATAGCTGCCATTGGGGGGGGGGGCAAACATACGCAGTCCAGTGTTCCCTCCGAGCTGAGTTACTGTGAGCCAGCTCACCGTTTTTTAGCCTCTGGCTCACACGTTTTTGTCTTAGCCCAGGGAGGGAGGGCTCCAGAGCGAACTAATAATGCAGCAGCCAAATCGCTCGCTCACAGCTTCAATGCCGGTGGCTCACAAAGTTGCATTTTTGCTCACAAGACCCCACAGCTTAGAGGGAGCACTGCCACACGCAAAGCCCAAGCAAGGGGACAAGAGGAGTCATTTTTAAAAACAGAGTGGAAAAGAGGAGTGAGGGAGAATACAGCCGCAGCACTGCAGTGGTCGTAGCCACCCAGACCACATTAATTTAATCTGCACAGCCAATCATAAGAACATAAGAGATGCCAATGTTGGATCAGGCCAAAGGCCCATCCAGTCCAGCACTCTGTGTCATACAGTGGCCAGAAATACCAGGTGCCATCAGGAGGTCCACCAGTGGGGCCAGGACATTAGAAGCCCTCCCACTGTTGACCCCCCCCCCAAGCACCAAGAAGACAGAGCATCACTTGCCCCAGAGCCCCTAGCTATACCTTGTGGCTAATAGCCACTGATGGACCTCTGCTCCATATGCTTATCTAATTCCCTTTTGAAGCCGTCCATGCTTGTAGCACCCACCACTTCCTGTGGCAGTGAATTCCATGTGTTAATCACTCTTTGGGTGAAGAAGTACTTCCTTTTATCCGTTCTAACCCGACCGCTCAGCAATTTCATGGAGTGCCCACGGGTTCTTGTATTGTGAGAAAGGGAGAAAAGTACCTCTTTCTTTACCTGCTCTTTCCCATGCATAATCTTATAAACCTCGATCATGTCACCCCTCAGTCGTCTTTTCTCCAAGCTAAAGAGCCCTAAGCGCTTTAACCTTTCCTCATAGGGAAAGTGTTCCAACCCTTTTATCATTCGAGTTGCCCTTTTCTGCACTTTTTCCAAAGCTATAATATCCTTTTTAAGGTGTGGTGACCAGAACTGCACACAGTATTCCAAATGAGGTCGCACCATTGATTTATATAGGGGCATTATGATATTGGCTGATCTGTTTTCAATACCCTTCCTAATAATCCCCAGCAGAGCATTGGCCTTTATTGCAGTCACACACTGTCAGAAGCTGTGGTGGGCAGGAGCCCCACCTGGCCCCGCCCACTTTATAAAAACACGTGATGAACCCCTGAATAGGTGCTGGTGGGTGCTGTGGCGCCCATGGGCACCGGGTTGGAGACCCTTGGGGTAAATGGTCCCGATGGTCTTTCCCACAGCCTTGTAAGGTGGGCTAGTATTTCTGTTGCAGATCAGGGAGGGAAACCTGCTGAGCAAGGTAGGGGCTCTGTGGCTTAGAACTGTGCTGCCCAATCCCGAGTGGGGTTTTTTGCTGCACCTACTCTCAGCTCCGTTCAAGGAATTGCTGTTTTAACATTGGATTTCTAGCCTGTTCCTTTGTAACTGGGACACAGCCATTTCTGGTTGAGGGACGCTAGCTCGAAGGAGAGCCAGTTTGGTGTAGTGGGTCAGAGCAGCGGACTCTAATCTGGGAGAACCGGGTTTGATTCCCCCACTCCTCCACATGCAGCCAGCTGGGTGACTTTGGGCCAGTCACAAGTTCTCTCAGAGCTGTTCTCTCAAGGGCAGTTCTCAAGAGAGCGCTCTCAGCCCCACCTGCCTCACAGGGTGTCTGTTGCGGGGAGGGGAAGGGAAAGGAGACTGTAAGCTGCTCTTAGACTCCTTCGGGTAGTGAAGGGCGGGGGATAAATCCAGTATCTTTTTCTTCTTCCTCCTCTGGGTTGGGAGATTCCTGGGGATTTGGGGGTGGAGCCTGTGGGGTATAATGCCATATAGTCCACCCTCCAAAGCATCCCTTTTCTCCAGGGAACTGACTTCTGACGTCCAGAGATCAGTTGTAGTTCTGGGGGGTCTCCAGGCTCCACCTGGAGGTTGACAACCCTACCCACAGGACATCTGTCTTGGGTCTCCCTTGAGAATTTGATTCCCCCCCCCCCCTTCCTCTTGTTTCCCCAGGTATGGCCTTTATCACCTATATCCTGCTGGCCGGAATGGCTCTTGGCCTGCAAAAAAGGTAAGCGCGGGATTCCCCCTCTTTTGAAAATCTGACAGGACTTCATAGTTTGGTCAGATTGGGGTGCACAGATGGCTGCCAGAGAACATCTTGACAGCAGGGGTGTGAATTTTGGCAGGGGGGAGGGGGGAGGAAGGTCCCATTTTGAGACGTGTGGATCTGATGCCTCGAGCTGTCTCCAGTTGACATGTGAAGCGTCACGACTTCTGCGGAGCGTCTGCCGCTTTCTCTCCAAACTTTTCTCCTGCTATGGCTGTTGCCAAGTCTCTGCTGTGCCTGTCTTCAGCCCATCATCTTCTGCCTCCCACCCCCGGTTCACACCCCTTGCTTTGGTGTCCCTTGACTCCCTATTCTCCTTCCCGCCCCCTGGTCCACATCCCTTGCCTCAACGTCCCTTGCCTCTATCTTATCCTTCCCGCCTCCGGTCCACATCCCTCGCCTCCATGTCCCTTGCCTCTGTCTTCTCCATTCCGCCTCCGGTCCACATCCCTCGCCTCCATGTCCCTTGCCTCTGTCTTCTCCATCCCGCCTCCGGTCCACATCCCTCGCCTCCACGTCCCTTGCCTCTGTCTTCTCCTTCCCGCCCCCTGGTCCATATCCCTTGTCTCCCCGTCTCTCCATCACTTGCAGTTGTTTCCTCTTGGTCTTCCATCATCATCACTCCTTAGGTTGCCTGCAACCAATTTTTACGGCTGGTGAAAAAGGGGGTCCCCTTCGACCCCCCCCCGCAAAGGCGATACTAGAGATTGTGGGACCTGCGTGGATAAAAGCCATTTGGGATGGAGGCTGTAATAAGGAAGGGAAAGGGGCAAGACTGAAGGGAAGAACTGGTTGGATCCATCTCCCTTCCTCCAGCACTTTTTAATTATATTTTTTATTTGGGTATTTTTTTAAATCCCACTTTCCCCCACTCAATGTGGATTCAGAGGGGGGCTCACAGAATGAGGGAAAAACGCACCATCGCAACAAAAGAGAAGACATCTACCTGTTTTGGGGAGGGGGGAGCAGGTAGGTACCTGCTTCGCCCTTGGCAGAAACCTAAGTAAGCTCAAAAATCATGGGATAGAAGGACAAGTCCTTTTATGGATCAAAAACTGGCTAGTTCATAGAAAACAGAGAGTGAGTGTAGGTGGGCAATTTTCTCAGTGGAGGGTGGTAAGCAGTGGGGTACCGCAGGGATCAGTACTTGGTCCACTGCTTTTTAACTTGTTCATTAATGATTTGGAGATGGGAGTAAGCAGTGAAGTGGCTAAATTTGCGGATGATACGAAGTTGTTCAGGGTGGTGAAAACCAGTGAGGATTGTGAGGCACTCCAAGGGGATCTGTCAAGGATGGGCGAGTGGGCGTCAACATGGCAAATGGGGTTCAATGTGGCCAAGTGCAAGGTGATGCACATTGGAGCCAAAAATCCTAAATATAAATACACATTGATGGGGTCTGAACTGGCAGAGACTGAGCAAGAGAGAGATCTTGGAGTTGTAGTGGATAACTCACTGAAAATGTCGAGACAGTGTGTGACTGCAATAAAGAAGGCCAATGCTATGCTGGGGATTATTAGGAAGGGTATTGAAAACAGATCAGCCAATATAATAATGCCCCTATATAAATCAATGGTGAGACCTCATTTGGAATACTGTGTGCAGTTCTGGGCACCACATCTTAAAAAGGATATTATAGCTTTGGAAAAAGTGCAGAAAAGGGCAACTCGAATGATAAAAGGGTTGGAACACTTTCCCTATGAGGAAAGGTTAAAGCGCTTAGGGCTCTTTAGCTTGGAGAAAAGACGACTGAGGGGTGACATGATCGAGGTTTATAAGATTATGCATGGGAAAGAACAGGTAAAGAAAGAGGTACTTTTCTCCCTTTCTCACAATACAAGAACTCGTGGGCACTCCATGAAACTGCAGAGCGTTCGGGTTAGAACGGATAAAAGGAAGTACTTCTTCACCCAAAGAGTGATTAACACATGGAATTCACTGCCACAGGAAGTGGTGGGTGCTACAAGCATGGACGGCTTCAAAAGGGAATTAGATAAGCATATGGAGCAGAGGTCCATCAGTGGCTATTAGCCACAAGGTATAGCTAGGGGCTCTGGGGCAAGTGATGCTCTGTCTTCTTGGTGCTTGGGGGGGGTCAACAGTGGGAGGGCTTCTAATGTCCTGGCCCCACTGGTGGACCTCCTGATGGCACTGTTATTTCTGGCCACTGTGTGACACAGAGTGTTGGACTGGATGGGCCTTTGGCCTGATCCAACATTGGCGTCTCTTATGTTCTTATGTTCTTATGTCTCTCTCCATGCACCAAAATGATTCCCCTCTTGTCCTGATTGCAAACTGTTGCAAGCAGTAAGAAAGTAGAAGAAGAAGAGGAGATTGGATTTATACCCCGCCCTTCACTTGGAGTCTCAGATCGGCTTACAAACTCCTCTCCCTCCCCCTCCACACAACAGACACCCTGTGAGGTGGGTGGGGCTGAGAGAACTCTGACACAAACTGCTCTTTTTCAAGGACAGCTGTGCCAGAGCTTGTGACTGACCCAAGGTCACATCAGCAGGTGCAAGTGGAGGAGTGGGGAATCAAACCCGGTTCTCCCAGATTAGAGTCCGCACACTTAACCACTACACCAAACTGGCTTTCCCCCCCTTGGTTATTAAACATACCGGATTTCCCCCCGGTGCAAATGTAGATTGTTCAGGGGAGAGGCTTTGCTGCTTCCCATTATTCCATTGCATCCAGTGCCATCCTTGCTGGGTGAAAAAACGTCCCGAAGTGGGAGTGTCCCGCCTTGTCATTTCCGTCATTTCTTGTGTCGCTTCTTCTCAGGTTCTCCCCAGAGGTCCTGGGTATGTGCGCCAGCACCGCCTTCGTGTGGGTGGTCATCGAAGTCCTGGCCCTCCTGCTGGGCTTGTACCTCGCCACCGTTCAGAGCGACCTCGGCACATTCGACTTGGTCGCTTACTGCGGCTATAAATACGTGGGGTAAGTTGGCTCCTCCTGAAACGGGCGGCTCGGGTTCAAAGCCGCCTGGCCCACCGTGCGGACCGGGAGAGTGCAAGCCTGCTTTCTCTGAAACTGCAGGCCCGGGGCTGAAGACGTGCTAACAAAGAGCTTGGGCGTGCAAAAGAAAGGGGAGGGGCAGTGGCTCAGAGGTAGGGCGTCTGCTTGGCATGCAGAAGGTCCCAGGTTCAATCCCCAGCACCTCCAGTTAAGAGGACCAGGCGGTAGGTGATGGGAAAGGCCTGCGCCAGAGACCCTGAAGAGCCACGGCCAGTCTGAGTAGACAACAATGACCTTGATGGTCCAAGGGTCTGATTCAGTACAAGGCAGCTTCATGTGTTCATGTGAGGAGACAAGAGTGATGTAAGCTGCTTTGGGTCCCCATTGGGGAGAAAGGTGGGGTCTAAATGAATTAAATAAAAACTTATAACTGGAGGCGCTGACCATGCTTCTGTTTAGTGAGGCCTAGGGGATATCACTGGTTGGAGAAACAGGTACCATGCTGCCCCTCTGGCTTATGCAGGGTGGGAAGACAAGCAGCCCTTGCTAGCAAGTGACCCCACTAAACTTCTGAATCCCAGTGCCAGGAGGCAACATCAGGGGAAGGCCTCGGCCTTTCTGCCCTGTTGTTGGCCCTCCAGAGGAACTGGTTGAGGCCACTGTGTGAGACGGGATGCTGGACTAGATGGACCCTCACAGGGCTGACCCAGCAGGGCTCTTCTTAGGTTCTTATGAGGGGAAGGCCTCGGCCTCTCTGCCCTGTTGTCGGCCCTCCAGAGGAACTGGTTGAGGCCACTGTGTGAGACGGGATGCTGGACTAGATGGACCCTCACAGGGCTGACCCAGCAGGGCTCTTCTTAGGTTCTTATGAGGGGAAGGCCTCGGCCTCTCTGCCCTGTTGTCGGCCCTCCAGAGGAACTGGTTGAGGCCACTGTGTGAGACGGGATGCTGGACTAGATGGACCCTCACAGGGCTGACCCAGCAGGGCTCTTCTTAGGTTCTTATGAGGGGAAGGCCTCGGCCTCTCTGCCCTGTTGTCGGCCCTCCAGAGGAACTGGTTGAGGCCACTGTGTGAGACGGGATGCTGGACTAGATGGACCCTCACAGGGCTGACCCAGCAGGGCTCTTCTTAGGTTCTTATGAGGGGAAGGCCTCGGCCTCTCTGCCCTGTTGTCGGCCCTCCAGAGGAACTGGTTGAGGCCACTGTGTGAGACGGGATGCTGGACTAGATGGACCCTCACTGGTCTGATCCAGCAGGGCTCTTTTTTATCCATCATAAAATAAAAGAAGGGAAACTGGGTATCTACACAGGGCCCTTCTTGGCTTCAGGGAGCCTTTGTCTGCAGCTGAATAATAGTCCAGGGCCCCCCAGCCTTTTTGAGCCTCTGGGCACCTTCAGAATTCTGACAGGAGGCAGTGGGCATAACCACAAAACGGCCACTACAAGCGGCAGAGCCAGCCCCAATGTCAGGGAGTTGGGTGATGCATAACTCATAATACCTCTTCAGTATTTCGGGCAGAAACTCTTCTTGAACAGGATGCCCTTTAAAAGGGACATGTTGTTTAAAAATATGTTCTGGCCCACACACAGCTTACCTCCAGTCATGCAGTGACAAACCTTAGGCAGTGGTGGGAAGCAGTTGCAGAAGCGACTTTTTAAACATCTGCACAGAGAGTCAGATCTCTAGTGGCCAGTCAGAAGCCCTGCTGGGCAAAAGCCCCACTAGTCCTGCCCACACCCTAAAAACAGTAGGTGTCAGCAGGCACCACGGTGCTCACGGGCACCCTGTTGGAGACCCCAGTAATACGCTCTCAGTTCACCTAGTTTCTGGGCACAGTTCGAGATGTAGGTTTTGGCCTATATAGGGCATCTAAAGGACCACCTGTTCTTCCATGAATCTGTCCCTGCTTTGTGAGAGGCCCTGTTCTGTGTGCCCCCCACCTTCAGAACTTAGCTGGATGGCGATGGGCAACAGGGCTTTCCTAGTGGTGGCTCCCTAGCTGTTGATTAATTTTTCCTCTGGGGATGTTCCGTTTCCTTGACAGATTGTTTGTACTTTGCTTTTAGTGGATTAAAAAAAAAATGTAATCGCTTTGTTGGTCAGATACTGTTTTTATTGTTCATTGTTTTTATTGTTTTGTAAAATAGTAAAGGTGTTTTGTAAAATAGTAAAGGAGCTGCGGTGGCTGAAGTGGTTAAGACGCTGAACTGCAGACTGTGGAAGGTCAGTAGTTCAGCAGTTCGAGACCATGGGGTGCCGCATGACGGAGTGAGCTCCCGTCTCTAGTTCCAGCTCCTGCCAACCTAGCAGTTCGAAAGCAAGACATTGCAAGTAGATAAATAGGTACCACTTTGGTGGGAAGGTAACAGCGTTCCGTGTGCCTTGGTGTTTAGTCATGCCGGCCACATGACCACGGAAACGTCTTCGGACAGCGCTGGCTCTTCGGCTTTGAAACGGAGATGAACACCGCAACCCTAGAGTCGGATTCGACTGGCTTTCGAGCAAGGGAACCTTTACTTTACCTAAAATAGTAAAAAGCCCAGTAGTAACTTTAAGACTAACAAACTTTATTGTAGCATAAGCTTTTGAGAAACACAGCTCTCCTCATCAGCTGCTCTCCGACAGCGGACGTGTGTGCTGAGAGCTGTGTTTCTCAAAAGCTTATGCTACAATAAAGTTTGTTAGCCTTAAAGGTGCTACTGGGCTTCTTACGATCTTGCAGCCACAGACTGACTAACATGGCTAACTCCTCTGGATTTCTTGTTTTGTGTCTTCATCGACGTGTGTTTAAACAAGACTCAGTCTTCTGTGGTTAGCCATCATGGTACCTCAGGCTGCAAGGTGGGATGGAACTAGTCTGGTGTACTGGTTAGAGTGCTGGGCTATGATCTGGGAGACCTGAATTCGAATCCTCGCTCCGCCATTGAATCTCAGTGGATGACTTTAGGCTAGTCAGGCTCTTCTGGCTGTACCCGCCTCGAAGGGTTGTCACAAGGAACGGAGGAAGATAGTTCAGCTGCTTTGCAGCCCCATTAGAGAGAAATGTGGGACGTAACCAGTGTTCCCTCTAAGCTGAGTTAGTGTGAGCTAGCTCAAAGTTTTTTAGCCCCCAGCTCACACATTTTTGTCTTAGCTCAGGAAGGATGGCTCTGGAGCAAACTAATTTATGCAGGAGCCAAATCTCTCGCTCACAGTTTTAATGCCAGCAGCTCACAAAGTAGAATTTTTGCTCACAAGACCCCACAGCTTAGAGGGAACATTGGACGTAACTGTTTTTCTTTTTCTTAATTTTTTTTTAATTGAGTTTTGATATATTATGGGAAAGGAAATATAAGGGTGGGAAGGGTACAGGGTGTGGGATATGACATAAAGGAAAATTTCATCACATTTGTATAACAGCGGTTACATATTTTCAGTCTTAACTCTTTGTTTCCAGTCTTTGTTTCTTTGTATAATTACTAAGATTAGTATCACTTAATCGCTGACATATTCTGTTATGTTTCCTGGTAAGAGTTCTCTATAGTTCGAGTTGGAGTTGCTCCAAATTGATATTTTGTGTATTCATTGTTCCTTGGTCTGCAAGGTTTCTTTCCACCCAGTCATCATACAGTGTCCAGCTACTATTTCTTACGTTTCGTTTACTTCTGTCCTTCAGTAGGTTTGACAATATATCCATTTCTGCTGTTCCAAAAGTTTTTGTCAAAGAGTTCAATTTCTGTCGGTATCTTCTAAGTATTTCTTTTTTAAAGCCAATTAAAGCCCTGCCATTGCCTCCCCCCAGAATGATCCTTGCTGTGGTCGGCGGCCTGGCCTTCGGGAGCAACGGCTATTACATCGCCTTGGCCTGGGCCTCCTGTGCTCTTATGTATTTCATGGTAAGCGCTGCGTGCCTTTATATTTAGTCATGTAAATTGCTCCTTATCTGGTATTTATTATCCTGTAGGTGGCTCAAGTGGTGGCTCAAGTGGTTAAGACGCTGAGCTGCCAGCTGTGGAAGGTCGGTAGTTCAGCAGTTCAAGACCCGAGTGCGCCACATGACGGAGTGAGCTCCCGTCTCTAGTTCCAGCTCCTGCCAACCTAGCAGTTCGAAAGCAAGACATTGCAAGTAGATAAATAGGTACCACTTTGGGGGGAAGGTAACAGCGTTCCGTGCGCCTTGGTGTTCAGTCATGCCGGCCACATGACCACGGAAACGTCTTCAGACAGCGCTGGCTCTTCGGCTTTGAAACTGAGATGAGCCCCGCAACCCTAGAGTCGGACTCGACTGGCTTTCGAGCAAGGGAACCTTTACCTTTACTTTAGGAAATAAAAGATGCATTTAAAAAAAGGGTGAGGCTCTTTGCCCCGAAGGCAGAAGGGATTTCTGCGCCCCCTGGAATTAGGAAATAGTTATCTTGACTCAATCCTGTGTGTGTTAAATGCTGTCAAGTCGCTTCTGATCTACGGCAACCCTGTGAATTAATTTTTTTAAAAATTTTAATTTTAAAAAAATCACATCAAATATATTAAAACTATAAATGAAGCCCATAAGGCCATGAGGTTGAGATGAATAAGCCCCAATCGACCATCAAAACAAGAGGCTCTGCTTATATTCCTATCAAGTCCACATAATTCTCATCATTCGGTAAAATGTCGTTTCCTATCAAATAATGGATAACAGGAGACCACGATTCAGTGTATGCTGGTTTCTGTTGAACTGATCTGTCCAGTTGTGTACCCAAGTTTACCGAAAATCAACACTCCCTCTAAGCTGTGGAGTCCTGTGAGCAGAAATTCTACTTGGTGAGCTACTGGCATTAAAGCTGTGAGCCAGCGATTTGGCTATTGCCTAAATTAGTTCGCTCTGGAGCCATCCCTTCCTGAGTTGAGACAAAAATGTGTGAGCCAGAGGCTAAAAAACTGTGAGCTGGCTCACGCTAACTCAGCTTAGAGGGAACACTGCCTAAAATATAAAAGTCTCACGACTTTCAGAGCCATTGATCTATCATCGGCATTTTCTGAGCTTTCCATTTTGAGGCTAACAAATGTTCTAGCTGCCAAAATTAGAGTTGAGGAAAATTGGTCGCGTTTCAGTTTCCCAGATGGCATTTTCCAATAATCTAATAGCAAAACCTCTGGCAGAAGCGGGAGATCCATCCCTGTGATATTCTTGATGTGTAAGAGGATACCTCTCCAGAAGTCTTGTACCTGTTCACAAGTCCACCAACAGTGGAGAAAATCTGCTACACAGCCACATCCCTTTGAACACCCGGGATAATTCTTTTTATTGATGCGATGCATTCTTGTAGGCAGGGCTATTTTGGGGCAGGAACGCACAGGAACGGAGTTTCGTCTGGCTCCCAAGTTGGCCACACCCAGCAGGAACTCATTAGCATAACAGGCCACACCCAACAGCAGGAACTCATTAGGATTGGCTACATTAGGGGTGTGTGGCCTAACATGCAAAGGAGTTCCTGCAACAAAAAAAGGCCCTGGGTTTTGACAACAAACAAGGTAAACAGAATAAGCAGCAGGAGGTGGGTGTGGCTGGATGACCACACTTCTGGTAACATGGGGGTGCGGCCTAATATGCTAATGAGTGGTGCAGTCAGGGGGTGTGGCCTAATATGTTAATGAATTTCTGCTGCTGGGTGTGGCCTATTATGCTATTGAGTTCCTGCTGGACTTTTTCTACAAAAAGAGCCCTGGTTGTAGGCGGTAAAATACCATCTTGTCAGTAACTTAATATATTGGTATTTAAGAGAATATATATTTGATTTGAAACCCTGTGAATTAATGACCTCTAAAATGACTGTATTGTTAAGAGCCTTGCTCAGGTCTTGCAAACTGAAGGCTGTGGGCTTCTTTGGCTGAGTCCATCCAACTCCTGTTGGGTCTTCCTCTTTTTCAGCTGCCTTCCGCTTTCCCTTAGTGCTATTGTCTTTCCCAGTGAGTCTCGTCTTCTCATAATGTGACCAGTTTAGTCATTTTAGCTTCTAGGGAGGGTTCAGGCTTGCTTAGATCTAGAATTGACTTATTTGCCTTTTTGGCGGTCCGCAGCATCCGTAATGCTCTCCTCCGACACCACATTGCAAATGAGACTTCATCTTTGGAGGAAGGCTGAGCTATTTGGTGCAGTGGTTAGGAGCGCGGACTCTAATCTGGGAGAACCGGGTTTTGATTCCCCACGCCTCCACATGCGGCTGCTGGTGTGACCTTGGGTCAGTCACAAGTTCTCTCGGAGCTGTTCTCTCTCAGGAGCAGTCCTCGAAAGAGCTCTCTCAGCCCCACCTCCCTCACAGGGTGTCTGTTGTGGGGAGGGGGAAAGGAGATTGTAAGCCATTCCCGACTCACACCCTTTTCCTCCGGAGCCTCTGACGCCCACGTCTCCCTCCCTTTCGCAGGTCCGCTCCTTACGGATGAAGATCCTCCCGTCGGTGGTGCAGGAGGGGCTCAGCCGGCCCAGTGGGCGGGCCCAGATGTACATCACCCTGGCGGCCGCGGCCTTCCAGCCTCTCATCCTCTACTGGCTGACGGTGCAGTTGGTGCATTGAGCGGGGCGGGGGAGAGGCAACGGAGAGCGGGGAGAGGCTCTGTCCACGGCGGTCCCGACTCTCAGGGAGGATCCTGTTTGCGGAGAGCCTCTCGCTGTCCTCCCAGTTTCCGAAAACAACACGAAGATTGATGCTCCGCCCCCCCGCCCCCCTCGGAAGTCCTGGGGTCAGCATATAAGGGCAGAACCGGGGGTTTATGGGGGTGCCTGTGTTCCGCTCCCCCCGGGGACGATACTGAACCAAGAGAGGTCTGTGTCCACTCAGCACTCCACTGCCACCCTGCCTAGTCCGAGAGCGGAGGAGGGAAAACGACGGTCAAGAATCCAGCTTTCCGGCTGCGCTGCAGGTGTGTGGGGGGGTGGCTGGGTAGCAGCCCATTCTGTTCGGGCCGTTTTGCGTTTTCCCTTTCCGGGGCTCGAACGGGGAAGACGGGAGAACAGCCCGCGCTCGATCTCACACACATAGCAGGCTTCTATGCAAACTGCTTGAGAGTGAAGTTGCCGGTGTCCTGTGTTTTTGCCTTCTGGAGCAAAGTGCCCTTTCTCGTCCCCCCTCGGAGTCACCGGTTCCTCCGCTCGGTCATCTCTGTTTCTGCCCCGGCGAGAGGCAGTGTTGGCCAGCGTCCACAGAGCACCGATTGTTCTTCGGCGTTTTGCCTGGCGGCTGTTCGCCCCCGGACTGTACTTCCAGAGCCGTGACCTTTCGTGCTCTCCCCCCCCTCCTTTGTTATCCTTTATAAATATATATTTAGAGTTTTGGTTGTGTTGTTTTTAAAGCTGCAGTCTGATTTCAAGCCAGCCAGGGGGACGATGAATGGCTGGAAATTCTTCCAGGGGCTGGCGAAGCCAAGAGTTTGATGTTGCTCTGATCTTCAGGAAGCAGTCGGTGATCTCACTTCCTCCCATCTGGGGTTTTTGGGGGGGAGGGAGCGTTTGTTCCCAGAAGCAAATGATAAAAGTGTTCCAGCACCAAGAAACAAGCTTGACAACTTGTGTGTGCTCGTGGGTTTAAGAACTGCTTTCCTCTACCCTAAGGAGTCTCAAAGTGGCTCACAGTCACCTTCCTTTCCTCCCCTCACAACAAGGCACCCTGTGAGGCAGGTAGGGCCGAGAGAGTTCTGAGAGGACCGTGACTGGCCCAAGGTCACCCAGCAGGCCTCATGTGTCTCAAAGTAGCCTACAATTGCCTTCCTTTCCTCTCCATTTTAAAAGGCACAATGTGAGGCCGGTAGGGCTGAAAGAGTTCTGAGAGAACTGGGACTGGCCCAAGGTCACCCAGCAGGCTTCATGTCTCTCAAAGTAGCCTACAATCGCCTTTCCTTTCCTCTCCCCACAAGAGGCACCTTGTGAGGCAGGTGGGGCTGAGAGTCCTGAGAGAACTGGGACTGGCCCAAGGCCACCCAGCAGGCCTCATGTGTCTCAAAGCGCCTTCCCTTCCTCTCCCAATCAACAGCCACCTTGTGAGGCAGGTGGGGCTGAGAGAGTCCTGAGAGAACTGGGACTGGCCCAAGGCCACCCAGCAGGCCTCATGTGTCTCAAAGCGCCTTCCCTTCCTCTCCCAATCAACAGCCACCTTGTGAGGCAGGTGGGGCTGAGAGAGTCCTGAGAGAATTGGGACTGGCCCAAGGCCACCCAGCAGGCCTCGTGGAGGAGGAGGAATGGGGAATCAAACCCGGTTCTCCAGATTGGAATCTGCCGCTCTTAATCACTGCACCACGCTGGCTCTTTTAAGAAGAAAATCTCTTCCCTCTGTTGGGGTTTACCAATGTTTTCCCTAGCAAGGCTGCTTTTAAGAGATGCACGACCCAAGAAGCTTCAGTTTGCCAGGCGCGGAACAGCCCTGCCTGGTTTCTTGGGTTTAGGCAGGGGGACTGTGGCTCAGTGGTAGAGCATCTGCTTTGGATGCAGAAGGTCCCAGGTTCAATCCCCAGCATCTCCAGTTGAAAGGACCAGGCAGCAGGTGATGTGAAAGACCTTTATCTTCCTGAGACCTTGAAGAGCCGCTGCCAGTCTGAGTACACAGTACTGGCCTTGATGGACCGATAGTCTGATTCACTAAGAGGCAGCTCCATGTACGTATGTATGAGATTCCTTTTTCTGCAAACTAGGCGCTTCAGAGCATTACTTCCTTTGGGCACCAGGTGGCAGTAAACCCTTCTGAGGACCAGCCGTGCAGTCGCTCCTCCTGTCCCCGGACTGCTGTTGTGACTTTGGCTGAAGAGAAATTACTGGAGTGAAAAAATGTGACGCTTGCTGTTCTAATCGCAGACTTGATGCTGGAGCCGCACCGGCGCGCCCACTGAGGTGCTGGCCCCGTTTCCCCCACAGCTGTCACCTGCAAAAGCGGAAACCCTACAACGCAGGGGCAAACGGGGACATGGCTTTTAGGGGGGCAAGGGGTTGGCGGTTGTGCCATTTAAAGCACCGGCACACCTGGTAATAAGTGGCTGTCTTGCACGATGGCATGCGCACAATGGCCTCTGTTCGCTGCCTCCCGCGGGTGCTTTCCACAGTGACTGACGTTTGTTCTTTGGTAGCCGTGTTCATTCCCTGCCAGGGAAGGGGGTCAGGACCAGAGCTGCTGGCCCAGGGTTCGATTCCTGCCTGCTCAGTTAAAAGGACCCCTGGCTCATTGTTTTCTGTTACCCTAGAAGGTCAGACCAGAAACAACGGGTTTAAATTAAATCAAAAGGATTTTTGGCTAAATAGTAGGAAGAAGTTCCTAACAGAGCGGTCCCTCAGTGGAACAGGCTTCCTGGGGAGGTGGTGGGGTTTTCAAACAGAGGCTAGATGGCCACCTGACAGCCATGCTGGTCCTGTGAACTCAGGCAGATCACGAGAGGGAGGGCAGGAAGGGTCGCCTCAGTGCTTAGTTCTCGTGGCCCTTCCTTACACGCCCAGGGAAATCCCGAGCGCCACTTTGGGGTCAGGAAGCAATTTTCCTCGAGGCCAGTTTGGCTGGAGATCCTGAAGGTTTTTTGCCATCTTCTGGGCATGGAGCAGGGGTCACGGGGTGTGTGCGGGGGGAGGTAGTTGTGAATTTCCTACATTGTGCAGGGGGCTGGACTAGATGACCCTGGAGGTCCCTTCCAGCTCTGATTCTGTGACCCAGGCTAGCCTGATCTCGTCGGATCTCAGAAGCTAAGCAGGGTCAGCACTGCAATGTTCCCTCTAAGCTGAGTTAGAGTGAGCCAGCCCGCAGTTTTTTAGCCTCCGGCTCACACATTTTTGTCTTGGCTCAGGAAGGATGGCTCCAGAGCAAACTAATTTATGCAGTAGCCAAATCACTCGCTCACAACTTTAATTGCCAGGAGCTTACAAAGTAGAATTTTTGCTCACAAGACCCCACAGCTTAGAGGGAACAGTGGTCAGCAGTCGCCAGTATTTGGGTGGGAGCCCACCAGGGTTGCTGTGCAGAGGAAGGCAATGGCAAGCCACCTGCTAGTCTCTGGCCTTTAAAACCCTACAGGGTTGTCCTAAATCATCTATGCCTTGACAGCATTTCTCTCTCTCTCTCTCTCTCTCTCTCTCTCTCTCTCTCTCACACACACACACACACACACACACACACACACACACACACACACACACACACACACTCCCCCCCCCCCATGGTAGAGGATCTGCTTTCTTTACAGGAGATCCTGGGTTGAGCCCATTCAGGGCGGGGGACAGATGGTTTGCCAGGACTGATGGCACCTGGCTTGGCATTCAGGGCTGGCCTTGGTGTTGGTGGGCACCCAGGCTGCTCTCGGTGACGAGTTCTAAACCACCACCACCCCTGCCTGGGGTTGGAAGGGGTGCGAATGCTGCAGTTTGGGCCTTTAGCGGTTGGCCCAGCTCCAAAAGGGAAAGAGGAGAAAGCTTGTCGAATTAAAACGAGGACTGCCCCTTGATGGAAGAAAGCCCTTTTATTGTGAGCTGTTGATCGACTGGTAAATCTGCAGCTATTTGCTTACCAGTAAGAGAGTTTCAAAGGCGGGAAGGTGGCATGGTATAGCCTGATTTCAGATGCTAAGCAGGGCCTGTACCTGTTTGGTGTAGTGGTTAGGGAGCGCGGACTCTAATCTGGGAGAACTAGTAGGTTTGATTCCCCGTGCCTCCACATGCAGCTGCTGGTGTGACCTTGGGTCAGTCACAAGTTCTCTCAGAGCTGTTCTCTTAAGGACAGTTCTCCAGAGAGCTCTCTCAGCTCCACCTACCTCACAGGGTGTCTGTTGTGGGGAGGGGAAGGGAAAGGTGATTGTAAGCCGCTCTGCGACTCCTTTGGGTAGTGAAGGACCTCTTTTCCTCCTCCTCTAGGGGAGACCACCGAGGAAGACTCTGGAGAGGAAGGCAATGGCAAACCACCTCTGCTGCTCACTTGCCTTGAATGTCCCTTGCTAGGGCTGCCGTAATGCGGCTGCGGCTTGACGACGTTTGACACATGAGATAGTTTCATGTTAGCAACGGGACGGTGGAATGCCTCTTCTAGGGGGTACCGGCCATCTGCCGTTCTTTGGGAAGCGCTTATTAAATCATTCCAAATTAACCCGCCTGCCTCATCAGAAGTACCTTTCCAATTGATCAAAGGGCTTTAATTGCTCTCGCTAATTTGGTAACCCAACACTGCAGCTCCACTCAAAGCATGTGCTATGCGGCGCAGTGTGGCTCCAGCACTCCCCGTTCTATGTTACTTTCAGTGTTTTCCCTCTGGGGTCTTTGCCGCTGTTTCAAGGCATGGCAATTAAAAAGGGGATGAAATTACCAATCTTCTTGTGCAGTGAGCCTCACCGGGCAGAGGAGGGAGTAGCGCTCCGGCAAGAGGGGGCAGAGGGCGGACAACGTATGTGAAGCATAGCTCTCCTCTCTAACCAAGGCAATCCACCATCACCCGCCAGCACGGATATCATACAATTAGTGCCGAAGCTGTAGGGGGCCCCATATGAAGTTGATGGACAACAGACACGGGACAGAGAAAAGGGAATATTTCTTGCACTCAACAAGTAATTGAATTGCAGAATTTGCTGCCAGTGGAGATGGGGATGGCGAGGAACACATTTTAAGAGCCCCTGGCAATCTTTCTGCCTTTAATCAGAGATGTGCTGTATCTGGGCAGCCGTAACCCCTTGAGCATCGTGCTCGGTTTTGAAGATCCACTTGCATCCTACACATGGATGGCTTAAACGGGTCAGAGTCATAGAGAAGAAGAAGACATTGGATTCATACCCCGCCCTTCACTACCCGAAGGTGTCTGAGAGTGGCTTACAAGTCTCCTTTCCCCTCCCCACACCAGACGCCCTGTGAGGTAGGTGGGGCTGAGAGAGCTCTCCTGAGAACTGAAAGAACTTATGACTGACCCAAAGTCACACCGGCAGCTGCATGTGGAGCGGGGAATCAAACCCGGTTCTCCCAGATTAGAGTCCGTGCTCCTAACCAGTACACCAAACTGGCTCTCATAGAGAAGAGAGCCATCAGTGGTTGCTGGCCACAGTGAATAAAGGGAAGACTGCATATGCACGCTGGTTAGTATTTGGATGGGAGACCACCAAGGGAAGTACAAGGTTGCTGTGCAGAGGAAGGCCTTGACCAACTGCTTCTGTTAGTCTCCTGCCTTGAAAACCTTAATGGTGTGACTTGAGGACACTTACACACACCATATGCAAAGGAAGCAAGCCTCTGAATCTGACTGCCGGGAGGCAACATGGGGAAGGTCTCAGCCTCCATGCCCTGTTGTT